TCCAGTTCACAGTGGCGAGGTTGGTTTCGCCACAATTACTAACATTAAAAAGTTCAAGAGTGTTGATAACACCTATAAGCCAAAGAAACACTTCATGGAGTTTGCAGATGGGAAAAATACATCAGGTGTGGCCCTGGAGAGAGATGATGCCAAGCTTTACCCACTTAACAGTAAAAGAAAATTGAGTGCTAGCAAGCCTAAAGAAAGCATTGTATATACCTTCATGTTCTCTGTAGAGTCAGCAATAAACAATGATGCATCAGTTAATTTCAAATAAGGCAGTAAACTATTTTCAAAAAATAGTGCCCGCACGGGGACGCTGAATTTTCCTCATAGAAATGCATTGAAATGTATTGATTCAATCCATCGCTATGAAGAAGTGCTGATTGGCCAAAACAGCAGTTGGCCCCGACCCCATCCTGCCTCCTTGCCGATTTTAGCTAATCAAATGCTTTAAGCATTGGATTGGCTAAAAATCAGCAATTCTAATAATGTCATGAAGGAAGCGGATCGAGGGTGGATCCGCGCGGCGCTGGAAATGAGGTGAGTTTTAATTCATTTTAATGCGGCTGAGGGGGGGGGCAAGCTACCTAAATAGTAGTTTTAACACTATAGGGTCAGGAATACATGTTTGTGTTCCTGACTCTATAGTGTTCCTTTAATGCTGCAAAAAAAGATATTCACAAAGGAAGGATTACACATTCATATTGATCACTTTACTAGAAGATAAATATTTAGTACGGGGGGAGGGGGGAGTCGATGGGTCTATGCAATAAAGAACAAAACTGAGGCATCAGAAACATATAAGGCCAGATGTGTTGCTAGAGGTTATGATCAAGCAAAGGGAGTTGATTATGGAGCAATATTCTCCCCAACAGCAAACATGATATCAGCATGAATCTTAATGAAACTAGCAGCATAATATTATTTATTCCTTTATAAAATGGATGTGAAAAAAAGCTCATTTACATGCTCGAATTGATTGTGAAATATATGTAGAGCAGCCAGAAGGTTTTGAGATCAAGTCCAAACAGAATAAAAAACTAGTTCTCAAATTCACCAAGTCATTAAATTAGGAGGGTGGGGGGAGGGGAGGAAGGCAAAATGGTGCTGAAACATCAATCCAAGTGCCCCCCAAAACAAGGACAGAAAGTGCCTGTAGCAAGTGAGCAAGTGTGTCCAAAAATTAAAAGCTTAGAGTCATGTCTAGCAATACCAGGGTACTCTTTATATAGAAAAGACAGAAAAGGTAAGAAAGGACAAGGAGTGGCCCTTTATGTGAAGAATAGCATAAAATCTAGCCTAATAAAAGTTAGTGAGGCGAACATAAAGTCAGTTTGGGTTACGTTAGAATTTGGTAATCACACAGTAACTCGTGTAGGTGTGATTTATGGGCATCCAGAACAAATAGAGGACTTAGATAATCTACTAGTTAAGGAAATATAGATGGTATGCATATGTTTTTATACTCTGATTCCACTCACATATTTTTACAATGACAGGATCCAGGAACATTAATTCTCTTGAAGCTAGCTGTAGTATTGATGCTGCTACCTAAGTCACAAATCACAAAACAAATGTATGCTTTGTATCATAGAAAAGCTAAATATCTTGCAAAAATCACCAGGGATACACTTTCTCTGTGTGAGATTTTTACTTGTTAGTAAGTAAAAAATACAGAAACAATGGACATTAAAGGAACACTATAGTCACCTAAATTACTTTAGCTAAATAAAGCAGTTTTAGTGTATAGATCATTCCCCTGCAATTTCACTGCTCAATTCATTGTCATTTAGGAGTTAAATCACTTTGTTTCTGTTTATGCAGCCCTAGCCACACCTCACCTGGCTGTGACTGACAGAGCCTGCATGAAAAAAAAACTGTGTTCACTTTCAAACAGATGTAATTTACCTTAAACAATTGTATCTCAATCTCTAAATTGAACTTTAATTACATACAGGAGGCTCTTGCAGGGTCTAGCAAGCTATTAACATAGCAGGGGATAAGAAAATCTTAATTAAACAGAACTTGCAATAAAGAAAGCCTAAATAGGGCTCTCTTTACAGGAAGTGTTTATGGAAGGCTGTGCAAGTCACATGCAGGGAGGTGTGACTAGGGTTCATAAACAAAGGGATTTAACCCCTAAATGGCAGAGGATTGAGCAGTGAGACTGCAGGGGCGTGTTCTATACACCAAAACTGCTTCATTAAGCTAAAGTTGTTCAGGTGATTATAGCGCCCCTTTAACCCCTTAAGGACACATGACATGTCATGTGTGACATGTCATGATTCCCTTTTATTCCAGAAGTTTGGTCCTTAAGGGGTTAAATACTGTTTTTAGAAAAAAAAAAACGTTTGGAGGGATATAAGCAATTGACAGTGTATTTAAGCTTAAAGAGGCAATATAGGCACCCACACCACTTCCTCTCATTGCAGTGGTCTGCGTGCACTGTCCCTGTCCCCCTTAGTCCCGCAGTACTAAGACTGCCTGCCTCTAGTGCAGTGGTTTCCAAACATGTCCTCAATGCACACCTACCAGTCCAGGTGATCCACATTTAAAAAAAAAAAATCTTTATTTTATTGAGAAGAAAAGGCAAAGTGAAAAATAGCATGCAGTGCTATGGCAATGATGCATGAGTTATCTGTTATGCCGAGTCATTTGTCTCTTTTTTTCATTTTTTGTATCACGTGTAAAACACAGTAAAACATATCAAGTAACATAGTCCAGTGAATACACAAACACATTTTTATAATATGTGAGCAGTTCTGTAACTGTTGGGTTGCAAGCGGAATGTAGGCATCTGTTGCCTGCAGACAATATTGGGCTATCAGCCCTAGGATAATGGTACAGGATTATCGACCCATGCAGTCTGGGGCTAGTCATATTAAGCAGTAGAGGTTTTTTTTACTAAATAGAGGTTGTACAGGGTTTTCTCCCTCTTGCGGTTTCCTTGTTTAAGGGAAGGCGTGAGGTAAGAGCCGGGTTACATCGGTCTATGTATAGGGAAGCAGGATAGAATATCCCTAGGAATCCTAGGGGGTGCAAGATTATTGGAGCAGTTTCGAGCATGCTTATAAACCGGTGCGTTTCGGCGCATAGTGGGTTGAGTACTAAGGGGGTGTAATATGTTCCTCCAGGAGATTTAAGAAGCCCTAATCGAGGGGGCAGCCCATAGCTTGTGAATATCTGCTAATAGTATTTTTAAATCATTGTTGGTGGTAGGAGCTGTGCCGTCGAATGGTTCAGGATTGGCCGTTTGACACTGCTCTGGTGTCTGGGCCTTACATCTGCAGGGACCCTTTTTACCTCCAGGGCTATATCACACGGGCCTTCGACGGGATGGTGTCTGGGTGGTGCCGGCCTCTGTAGCAGAGAACCGATGTCCCGACCGTCTGCCGGTGCAGTTTGCTTCTGGGATCAATGTCCCATAGCTGGCATGAGGTCTGGTTGTGCGGATGACCCAGATGGCATGTTCGGGTATCTTCCAGCCACTGAGCCATGTAGAAGCGACTCCAGTCCGAGCATGGTTGGTGCGCAGCAGGCCCCTGACTTGCGTTTCAGCTTAGAATGTTTGGGGGAGTGAAAGAAAGGCATAGACAGGTTCTGTATGCCTTCAGGAGTTGAGGTGGCACTGGCTGGTTTGTGGAGCTGGATTAGTGTGCGTTTTGAAAATATTTTTCAATTCTTTGACGACCGTGAGGAGCTGGCAGAAATGACGTCTGCTCAGGGTGATCGTTAGCCCGGCCCTTTAAAAGATCCACATTTTTCCAGGTTTTTAGCTTATAATTTGAATACCCTTGCTGCAGCTTTCATTACAGTAAATAAATACCTTGTTTCATATTACAGCAATTTGTACCATGCTGTGGAAATCTAACTGTTATAGCTTGTGTGGATTTTTTTTGTCTTTTCAAGTGTCTATATTCACTCCCCCTCTTGTAAACTGTTTATTAGTACAAGAAAATCAAGGTATATTTATATGGCCATACTCTAGCCATTACAATGCCTTTTCCTGCATATTTATATACATGTATATTCATGTTCAAAAAATATTGAAAGGAGAATAGGAACAGGGAACATTCCACTTGCCAATTATAGTCTGTCTGGCCTATAATCGGATTATGGCAGCAATACAACTGAATCAGTAGGTATGAGAGCAGGGTGTAGCCTGACTGTTCTATAAATTGCTGGATTGGCATTTAACAAAAGAAAGTAAATGCAAAAATGGAAACCTAAAACAGGATGTTAAATGTAGTGCACGTATGGAGGTATGAGATATAATCACAGTGAAAAACTAAGGTAGCGTAGTAGGATGTTTGGGAGAATATAATCAGTTATAGCTAAGAAATAAGAAATTGAATGAGTAGACGTTTAAAGGAAAAGTAAATGTAGATCCATTCACTGCACAGTGTGATGGGTACTGCATAAAAAACACAATGTCTATTTATTGCATGAATACAGATGTTCCAGTATGTTAAAGGAACACTATAGGGTCAGGAATACAGGAATACAAACATGTATTCCTGACCCTACAGTGTTTAATCCACCATATAGGTGGCTTGTCCCCCATTAGAAAACATGAAAACTCACCTTATTTCCAGCCCCGCGCGGGTCCACCGACGCTTCCTCCGCCCCCGATCTCCCTCCTTGGTGACATGATCAGAATTGCCGATTTTTAACGGATTGGCTGAAACCGTCAAGGAGGCGGGTTGGGTCGGGGCCAAATGCCATTTTAATCAATTGAATCAATGCATCTCTATGAGGAACGTCAGTGCTGCCAACTGTGCAGCACTCCCCCCAGGAAGCACCTCCAGTAGCCATCTGAGGTGTGGCCACCTGGAGGTGTCCCTTTGGGGCAATGTAAACAATGCCTTTTCTCTGACTTCTATACTTCTTTAGACAGAATAAGACATAGAGAAAAAGGTTAAGCTTGCCCTTTCCCTATAAATGATAAAGAAATTAAAGGTCTCCATGACATATAACATCAAACTTAGTGTAGGTTTCCATGGTTAGCAGGTTGTTAACCTTTGGAGTATTTACAAAACGATATAGGTGTGCTTAGTAACAAATATACATTTTAAGTGTACATGAAAGGGATTTACCTTACTTCAAATAATAAGTTGTTTGATCAACACATATTACTACTATAACTTAGACCGTCTGCCTAATTTAAATAAAAGGGGTTTAAACTGTTGGCGGTCCACAAGTAGCATTATACTATTGATAAAGTCAAAAGCTTAGCGAAACGCGTTGGGTGATTTATCTGCAAGACACTGAGGACCAGAAAGTTACTACTTGATATCTGGAAGATTCTGGAAAGATACACACAGCAAATATCAAGGCCAAAGAACCAAAGTTACACCGGTGCATGCTAGAACATGACAAGCAGCCTCCCCAGACGACTATATGCTGGTACAACTAATATGAAATGTGAGAGTCCATCTTATTTGTAATTGTTTGTGTTTAATGTCTGCTCTATAAAGCAATTTAATATATGTTTCCCCTCCCCTTTTATTTTGCATGTTTTAATCCTGCTGAGAACTACAAGGGAAACTCACCTGCTATTACCCTGAAGTAGATACTTAAAAGAGACACTTACTATACAAATCTTCTAGGAAGCGCTTATTGTTAAAGTTTCTGTTTTATATTGTATAGGGTGTTTTCCTAGGATATAGCTGCTGGCCCTATGGTTGGAGTTTCATTTTTTATTTTTTATGCGCTGCATCAACATTTACTTAGTTGTTTGTGTTGTGTCGGAGTGTTTGTGTTTGCCCCCATGATTACCTTTCTCTGGTGGTCTGGTAGGGAAGTGTTGTGCTCTGTACTAATATTGGGTGCAGATCACTTTAAGAGCTCACCTCGCTGTCCTGGCGCTCAGTTAAAGACTCGGGATCCTGGTGCTCTGAATCATTGAAAAGTATCTGGAGTCTTAAAGTTATAACTCCCTCGAGGAGGTGAGTGGGCACAGGGCCCAGCAGGAAAACCTTTTTGATCTCCCTGCCAGCTTTAGGAGGGACCTTAATTGCCAGAGCTCCTGTCTGAGCCCAGGACCTAGGCAGCCGCCTATGCTGTCTTATGGGTAATCCAGCTCTGATAGTTGTTATCTCTAGCTTCACTTGCACTTCATCATTCCTGAATTCTGCTATCCTTGACCGGGATTTTCTGTTTTAATGTACCAACCTCAGCTCTTTCTTCACTACTCTCATATGACTTTTCTCCTTTCTGTGGCCTGTTTGCATTAATCTTGACCATGCTGACAATGCCAAGGTTCAGTAATACACTGTGTCAGTTTCGTATCTTATATTCTGTTTCCTATCTATACTTAATGAGCTGTATTTATGTTTTGACCCTGACAGTACCATGAACTGCACATCTAAGGACAAGTTGAGGTGAATGAATGATGTTCTTGTAGACCAGAGGATGAGTGAGCAAGTAGGCTAGCCCCATCTATCAAACATTACAGTAATCCTGGCAGAAAACAAAGCCAATAAGACATTTTGTTCTTTAGATTAACAAGAATCAAATGTAGGAGATATTGTTTTGGCAACAACTTCTGCCAAATGGATCTCATCAGGGGGAAGTACATCCATAACACTGCATCACCAGATCATTCTTCTAGCTATAACATCCATAATTGGATTTGGTTGTAGTAACAATGCAATAAGAATGAAGAAAGACAGGGTTCAAGTTGAAACACCACTTCAGAAGTATCAAAAAGTCCCAGTGTCATGGAATAATACACAGGTGGCTATCAGATGGTAATAACTCATCAGAATGGTCCTCAGTACATCAGGAGAGAGTCATCTCAAACTGAATATCAACAGTAATAGTATGGCAATACTTTCAAAAGTAACGGATAACATCCTGGCACTCAGACGAGGAGACTCTATGTCCATTTTATAATAAATCAAATAAATAAAAGCATATCTCTCCAGTCTCCAGGCACCACCTGACTTGTTTGTCCAGGACATTTTAGGGCTTAATCCTAGATAATGAATACACATTCCAAATTAGTAACTTACATAACATTCTTTTCCAATATACCTGCTTTACATCAAAATCTGCATTTTTTTATAGAAGAACCCAGAAGAGACATGTAGTTAACCCCTAAAACAATTTAACAAGAGTGGAAAGTGCTTTAGGGGATGGGAGAGTTTCCCTTTAAGAAAATATCACGATCTTTTATTACAGATCATGAGATTTACTTATTTCTCATCAACAAATTACAAAAACATAGTGGAAAATACAGTTTGAACAAATCAAATATACATCCAACTGCCAAACGGATATCTGCCACTCTTAATGAGCCACGTATTTCTAGATTTAGCAGTGGCAGTGCACGTGGTTAATTTCTGAGTTTCACTGTAAGAGCAATATTTGAGATTTCACTATATACACTGATCAGCCATAACATTAAAAACACCTGCCTAATATCCCGTAAGTCTCCCTCGTGCTGCCAAAACAGCTGTGTGTTGAGTGCCAGGATGTTTTTTTCCACAAGATCTCTAAACATGTCCTGTGGTTTCTGGCACCAAGACTTTGGCAGCAGATCCTTTAAGTCCTGCAAGTTGCAAGGTGAAGCCTCCATGGATTGAATTTGTTGTTCCAGCCCATACCACAGACGCTCAACACCTTGAACTCTTTGTTATGTTCCTCAAACCATTGCAGCGTGGCATGTTGCTGAAAGAAGCCACTGCCATTTTTTCCTGCATCCAACAAATGAAAGTAAAGAAATGCCTAAAATATACCACCCTTTGACAGGTGCCATTGTACTAATTTCAATATTATTCACTTTACCTGATCACTTCAGTGATTGGTTGCTGATCAGTGTATAGAGTAATACAAGAGTTAGCTTTGTATTCTTGTGCAGTTCTCTAAACAGCCAACCCCTGTGTAGTCCTCTGAGAATGACTCTAATGGAAATCTTTGCTCTGCTTTGCGAATTGCTCAAAGTACAGAGTAGAGGTATGTATCAATCTTATATGGACTGTCAACAAGTTCATGTTGAGCATACTTTTACTGAACTGAATTAACCTTTAGTGAATGTTTTTATAATGAGTGAAGCTCCTTTAAGCGTTTATTTTTTGTTTGTTTTTTAAACACTGTTGATACGCTATGGTTTTGTTTTATATCCTCCTCATAAGGAGTAAGAAGAAGGTGATTTGAAGCAAATGCACTATAATCATCAATGCAATTCAATCAACATGTATTTTGAACATTTAGACGAAAATGCTCAGTATCCTCTGTGTTGTATTCATTAACAGAGTGACGTGTCGTCATGTTGATTAAAAAAAAACGCATTATTTTTTTAATGTTTCCCTTTTTCTTACCCCAAAATCAATTTTTTTTATTGGTGTCTGATTTTGCGTTAAAGGGACACTATAGTCACCAGAGCAACTACAGCTTAATATAGTTGTTCTGGTGTCTGCAGCCTGTCCTTGCAGGCTTTTTGCAGTGAACACTATCTTTTCAGAGAAAAGGCAGTGTTTACATTACAGCCTAGGGCCGGGGTAGGCAACCTACGGCACTAGTGCCATGCATGGCACTCAAGGTGTCTTTCCACGGCACTCAAGGCTGCTAGAGCCAAACAGGCTCTGGCCTATCAGGAGTCCCAGTAAAACTTCAGATATCTGCTAATATGAAGAGGTGGTGAAGGACAAGCCTCAATTTATGCATTGTAGCACGTAGAGGAAGTGATCTCAGAGCACTTCATTCCAGCACTTGTGAATGGGAATCCACACAGTATTAGAGCAGCTCGCAGTTGTTGCAGCTCCTGTCCTTGACCTGTACCTGGCTGGCCTGGTCCCCACTGGAACCCAGGGAAGCCACCCACACTGCTTGATATACACAGAAATGCAGAATAACCCTCCCCTCATACAAATAATACAGACAGCCCATACACAAACATACACACAATCCGCACAAACTGAACACCACTGACAATCCACATACACGCACACAACCCCACATGCAGCCTCTCACATGCAATACCCCAAACAGCCCCCACACACTACCAAACACACAATGTGACATATCCATCCACACACAATTCCACAAGCAGCCCTCATACACAGCCCACATTCATATGTATCATACACAATACCATAAACTACTCATGAACATATACAATCTAATAGCTCATACACGCACAAATACAACGATACAAAGCAATTACAGTAAAAATAACAAGCAGAATACGGCAGCATACACACCTCAATTTAAAAAAAAAAAATAGGACCGGCATGCTACGGGACATCACAATCCTATATTGGCACAGTGCTGCTAAAAGGTTGCCTACCCCTGGCCTAGGGACACCTCCAGTGGCCACTCTTCAGAAGACTACTAGAGGTGCATCCTGAGGCAGTGCTGCACAGTGTGCAACACTGACGTTCAGCATCTCCACACTCTGCATGGAGACACTGAACACTTCCCATATTCAATGCATCTCTATAAGGAGATGCTAACTGGCGCAGCACAGCATTTTGCTGCGTATGCGCAATTGCCTCCCATTGCTTTCCTAGGAGAAAGCATTGGATTGGCTAACATTATCAAATTTGATGATCTTAATCAAGCTGGGCC